ACTATACGATATGGACTATGCATGGTGAGGTGGTGTGAATGTTCGCAGGAAAATGATGATGATGTGGACATGCTCGGCGTGTAGCCATCCACGATCTTTGACGTGGAACCGGTGTCATCTGGAACCTATGGCCACGAGTTAATAATGTGTTTAGGAACACGCTTAGTCGATGGCGACACCAAGGATAACGATGGCATTTCTCGGTGCTTACGAATGTAGAGACCGGATGTCTTAGTGAAAGACATCCGAGAAAGCTAGAGAAAATGAGACAAGATGGCAAAACACCATTGTATAGGAATTGTCCAATGAGCAAACCTGGAAGCCGACATCATGCTATTAGAGTTCAAATCGACAAAGCGAATTGAGCGATAAAGGCTTCGATCATTTGTTAGGTATAATAAGGAAAATGCTCCTAGAAAAAATGAGTTGCTGAAAAGACATACTTGGCCAAGCAAATGATCGCCCCATCGGTCTCGAGGTTGAAAAAAATCCACAGCGTGTTCCAATGATTGCATATTGTACCGTGGAGAAAAATACAAAGACTTGGACAAGTGCCCCAAGTGTGAAGCTCCACCGGTACAAGGAAGGGCCGTCGGATGAGGGTACCAAGACCGAGAGGAGGTCCGTAAAGATCGTTTGGTATTTCCCTATAGCTCCCCGGGTGCATAGGTTGTTTGCATGTCCAAAGTCACCAAGTCAAGGCTTATTTGGCATGGCGTAAGAGCGTAAGAAAGATACAATGATGAGGCACCCCGCCGATGGGCATGACTGGAGGACTGTCAATACTATGTTCTATAAGGACATCGGTGGAGAGGTAAGACACTTTTGGTTTGCTTTGAGCACAGATGGGATGAATCCTTTCGACTAGGTTAGAAGCAATCATAGCACCTGGCCAGTGACGCTCTATATATACAACCTTCCACCTTGGGTGTGTATGAAGCGGTCGTACATCTAGATGCCACTACTGATCCAAGGGCCAAGACAACCTGGGAATGACATCGATGTGTTTCCAGAACCAGTGATCGATGAACCAGTGGAGATGTTTGAAAAGGGTGTGCCGGATGTTTGGGACGAGTACAAAAAGGAACATGTCACGATCAAGGGAGTACTTATCGCTACAATCACCGACCTGCCAGGTCGAGGTTCATTGTCCGGAGAGAAGACAAAAGGCTCGTAACACCCAGGTTGTTACATCAAAGTAAGTCATAAAACTCGGTATTTAACTATACTAGCACATGGATACTATGGAAATTAAGGTTAGGATATGTTTACAAGTAAATTTTTTTGGGCTTAATAAGATGATCTACATACTTTTATGAGTTCTCATAGTATAGTAAGTCACAAAACTCGATATTTAACTCTACCAACACTTGGATAATATGAAAATTAAGGTTATGATATATTTTGAGAAAATATTAGTGTTTTTGTTATCATTTGCTCTCTCCCATACTTTTATGAGTTAGAGTATTATGTTAAGACATAGTGGGGAGTTCGATTCCAGGATAAATTGAAATGCATGACCTGATCATTGGATAAAACTTCAAACGTACTTTACAGATATGAATTCGGGTAGAGCGTGTCCGCATGTTAGAGTCTGATTCCAAGATGATTGAGAACACATGACGCGATTGTTGAACAAATCTTCTGAACTTTATGTCGTCCAAGCAACTAGACTATAAACAATACGCCCCGTAGCGCACAGGCATTTTTGCTAGTGTTCCTAATCTTGTCCGCTGCTTCAGTCTTATGTTGCAGGTGTTTGTTTTATTCGAGCGTTTTATGTTCTTCGGCCGGGGGCCCGAGCCGTGACGAAGTGCATGGCTGCGGGGGCCTAGCCAGGCCGGAGAAGCGCGGGGCAGTCTTCTGGTGGCGCAGTCAAGGAGGCGCTAGGGCATGCTCGTCAGCATGAGTGGGCGGTCTTGGTGGACGCGAAGGCTACGGATTTAGCCAGCTGAGGCGTGTGGCTCGCTAAAGGGCTACGGACTGGACGGGGCGTGGGGGGAGGAAGCGACGCAGGGGGGGGCGTTGAGCACTTGAGCAGGCTTTTTGGACGTGCGTGGGGGCGGGGGGGGGGGCGCGTTGAGCACTGAGCAGGCTTTCGGACGTGCGTGGTGCGCCGGACGCTAGAACATGATAGTGTCAAAACATATACGTTACAACTACCTGAAAGATGGCACCTTCCTTTCTCAAAGTTACAAAATTACACAACCTGTCATTCTGTATTTCCTATCTACAAGTCTAGTGCTACGTCTCCAAAAAGTGAAAACAATATTTGCATTATTAGGTGCTTTTATTTACGCACAAAACTGTACTAACAATGAACCATATAAATATAGAGTAACTTTTTTAACACATCATTTCATTAAGAAGAAAAGAGTGTACATAGAGTACAAGGGAGAATAGTCCCCAATAAAAAACACACATAGCACAAAGGAACCTACAACCCAAAACACAAACACTAACACACAAAAAACCTACAGCCCGCACCTCTGAAGGCAGGATCAGTCACAAGTCCAAGACCTGATTAGAAACTCCTGTAGGCTCTTTGAGCTAGCCCGAAAATTCAGAGAATCAAATTCAACCAGGACAAGTCATATATTTAGTCCCTTCCTCCACAAATAACTTAAATTGGAATGGTGCCTTTGTCTCACGCATTATCCACTGTACATTTGCCATGACAACATCATGACTCAATATGAGGGCGGTACACCAGCAGACCTACAGGATTACATAAACACATCACTCTTCATCGTCATCATCCGGAATGGCAGTGTCATCGTCAGTACCTTGTAGAAAAGAGTGTGCACATCTTCGCCAAGCTCGGCCAGCCTTGTGCTCAGCTTCTCAACCTTAGTTTGTTCCTGACTGAGGCAGACGAGTTGATCATTCAGTACCACCTCTGTCATTAACAGCCTCTTCCTTGACTTGCGTTTTTATTCCTTCCACGTCAGGATACAGCACACTGCCTCCATGCCGCAAGGTTTTTATCTCAGAATCCAAGCGGTAGTTGGCATGCTCTAGGTTGTTGTAAGCATCTCTTGAGATCAGACTGCGGCTCTTGAGATCAGACTGCGGTTTTACTGAAAGGTTTCTTTGGTTGTTAGCTTCAGCTTCAATCTGGGACTTCTCAGTTTTCAGTGCCTTCTGTTGTTTCATTCCCTCCAGTTCTTGTCTGAGGGCTTCCATCTGGACCCTTTATCGACTGCTTGGTTTCTGCGAAGTACCTATGGTGGTACCACCACCAGTTCTCACTAACTCTTCTGCCAACATTGCATTCCAACCCAGTAAGTCCTGATAGATGCCATTAAAAATATCAGTCTCAGCTTCTTATACTTTATTAGGCAGTGTCTAAAAAACACTAGCAACAACAGGCACCCAAAAACCAACCCATCAATCTAGAAACAATTATTTATGGCCATTAACAAGTTAACTTTAAGAGAACTATGTTATCTAAAATATTTTCTGAAGGAACTTTTCAAATGCGTGAGTTTGCATGAACCAACTTGTTTTGGGTTAATAAAAGGGTCCTCTTGCCAACCTAACCTCAGTGCTAACCAGAAGATTGGTTGATGGTACAGTAGTGTCTCAAGGAGCAAGCTCTAACTATTGAGAAATACACTAAAGTTTTATTACCACTAAGTCATATAACATATGTAGTGAAAAAACTAATTCAAGAATCACTTTCTGATGATATCATGCCAAGAAACCCTTCATGTTTTATAACTGCTTGGTCTTTACTTTGGATTACGAAACTGGTGTCAATGAAATTGAAACTATTGTCAGGTGTCCCAAAATAGAACTGACATTTCTTTTTTAATGGCAATGCACAAGAGATCATTCCTTAGCTTCGATTTTTTTGAAGTAATTCAACAGGAAATTTTCTGGAGCAACAAAGGGAAACCTACCTGCATCTCATTGCACTGTTCCTCTACAAATGACTTTAGTCACTTCAAATACTCTCCATCGACCTCCCCATTCTTCTGCTCCGATTCAGTAGGAAGGACTGCAGTTGCAGTTTTTATCTGACTAATTATATCCATTATATTTTCTCTAATATCATCCTCAAGCTTACTAAAGAAATGAACAAACTGTGAATCAAATATCTCTGATAGGATAGGGTGTTGGTCATCTTTATTTGTTCCATACTGTTCAATCTCTTGGAAATCTGACATGGTATTTGCACTTTGTTGGGAAAGCTCCTTGCAGTGATGCTGCTCTGACAACAGATGTGCCAAGCTTTTCCTTAATTCATCAAACCTCAACGTATGTTGGGAGAATGGGAGGCCAATCTTTTGACTTACAACACCTGCAACAGCAAAGGCATCACAACCCTTCTCATGGCTAGCATTGTACAGGATAGCAGCCAGCCCATGAACACAAGCACCTAGAACAACAAGGCATATTTTTAAGCACACTAGAAAAGGAAGTGCGCTTCTCAGCGCCCTACCAATCTACCATGCAAATTTATCTACAATTCTTTTAAGTATATGATATTCATAGAATCAGAACACAAATATTGCAGCCAAATAGGACTGAAGCATTTACTTTTGTAGTCCACAAATGAGCAAACTATTTTTTTAGACAATTTTCCATAGTAGGTGTACAAATAATTCTTGCAGTGTTGAGAAGGCCCTTGCCATAGCAAGTACAACAGGGCACAAGGATTACTCAAACTAAACTTAATGCATACACTATTCCAGATTAAGTTGTCCAATTGCCTTTGATGTCCGTGCACTGGATAGTTCTCAGTCATTGGGTCTTTTGGTTGTACTTATTTGGATACAGAAACAAATAAGACTCCAATAACAGAAAGCAATAACAGGCTAACATTTGGAATACTGTTACAAAAATCCAAATCTTAAATATTAGTTCGCTGCACACTACACAGTTTGCTTAATAAAAGTTTAGGTCAAAACCAAATTCTTTTTTGAAATCATAGGTCGAAACCAAATTCACAAACCAGTGAATAGGACACATGCCAATTCACAAACCAAAATCACAGGTCAAAACCAAATACTTATTTATCATTGGCTGGTTTGGTGTGAGAGAAAAATACTATTCCAGCTTATAATCCATTTAAACGAACAGGCTTTGATTGACAGTAAGAGCAGAGCCATGAGACTGAACAAAGTCCAATAGAGGATCAGGGGTGTCAGGTTGTTTCTCTAGAAGATAAGATACTGTTGGGTCATCCAAATTCACATATTCTTGTGCAGATCCAGAGAAGTTAAATGGACATAGGGCACTCAAACACTCGGTGGGGAAAAAATCTAGGAACATAGAAGGGATCTCACATCTTCATCAAAATCTCACAGTTGAATTCGACACCATCATCCTGCTCTTCCTCGTAGCGTAGTTGCCATTGTTTTGCTCCTGCAAGGAAGGAGTATGTGATAACACATTAGGAACCGTGCAGCACCGTAATATGTGAACAAATCGTGGTAGCAGCGGCCCCAAACTGGTGTTGCCAAGAGAAAGGAGGAATTGGAGACTGCGACCCTACATCCTCAAGGGCGTCTTCTAGAAATCCTCATCCTGCTGGTCCTTATCGTATAGGGGATCGGTATTCCTAAGCAATCGATTTCAATCTAAATCAGGAGCAAGCCAGGTGGGCTGGAGGAACTAAGCATCGGGGGTCATGGAAGGAGATGTAAGGAGCAAGGAGGGGGAAACCTGACCTCTTGCTTGTGGTGGCACGGGCGACGTGGTCGATGAAGATGGGTGGTTCGTCGATGTCAGGGTTATGGCCAGACACAGACCGCCAGATCTGGAAGCTGGGACGCCGCCCTCGTGGCAGCCGCCGGCGCAACCCTGGCACGCCATCGCCTCCCTGCCATTTGCATCATCGGCGGACAGCATCGAACTTCTCTATCCCAGACCTTGGGCGCCGTGGAGCTCACGCGGCTCCCCGCGGTCCAGCGATGGCGGAGCCATGGACCCGTGCGGCGAGCAGCCAGGTGCGGCAGTGGCGACGCGTAGGGCGGCGACGGGGAGAAGAGAGAAAGGAGATAGAGGGAATGAGGCCCAGAAGGAGAGCTCGATGGCGACGCGGCGGCCAAGCAGTACCTGCGCATTCGTGACCCAGCGCATGGAACCAAGCCTCGTGGCCGTCCGCCGATATCAGCCCCCGCTCCTGCACCCAGGGCATGTTTGGTTGGAGGCCCGGGCATCTTGCCTGGACTGATGCCCGGAAGTTATCTAAAAAGTTGATATTTTTTGCCTGGCTAGGCAAGTATAAAGAAAATGTGTTTGGTTGGTGCCATGGACCTGAGAAGCTATATGATGATTAAATAATATGAGGATAATGTAACTTTAACACTTATGATTAAATAATATAAGGATAAATAAATTTTTTAAATAAAAAATAAGATATATAAATAATCATAATCTAGATTGCAAAATAAACTTTAATTTGATGAACAATAAAAAATCTTTTCCACGCGTTGGTGAACAGTAATATGGTTATAATTTTTTAGCAGCAACTTGCACGTTATTTGTGGGCACAAAAAAATAGGACAGAAGTTAATTATTAGTACAAAATATGCACAGTAGCTAATTAATTTGAATTAACTTTGATGCTTTACATACCCAGCAGGTTTTCTTTGGTGCCGGCGCTGTTTTTGGAGGCTGGGACTGCCCTCGATGCTGGACGGATCAGTGCAGTGGCAGTCTCGCATCCAAATGAATCCTGTGCAAGACCACAGCGACCATCCACCCAGCGAGATGGACTCTGTGGCACCATCCAAACATCCCCCATTGCCTATTCTCGTCGGTAACAAGCACAACGTGCCACGCCGATGATGGCGGCGATCCGACCGACCAGCATGAAAGCACCGAGGGTGGCGGGGGGGTGAAGAGAGAGGCGGAGACAGAAGCGGTTGGGGATGGGAGTGGTGTCACCATAAAAAAGCGCTTGTGGGGTCGGTTCCTCCCCCCCCGGTGCCATTATAATTTTACACGAGTATTATTCCCATTCGTCTATTTGAAAACTATATTATTATAATTCTTTTTTTAACTTGAATCATGCCATTTTTAACGTATTCGATAGTATTGGGCCTACGCGTATGTGACTAAAGGCTAATGTATTTTCGTATAACCCAGACTACTCCGGTCAGGTGCCTACAAGTTGAAAACCATCAACGGGGAGGTCTTCACCAATGCCTGGAACATCAAGCAGCCACGTCACTTTTACCCCTAAATAAACGCATACTTTCTCTTATTAGTCTTGTCATTGAAATCCCCGATCTTTTGTGACATCCGCCCCCTACAAGTGTGAGGGGTTGGGCCTCACTCGGGGGCTGGTATGAGTACATTTATCCTACGAACATTCTCTGTGTCTGCCCTCCTTTCTCACGGGAAATCCTAAGAGCTAGGATTTTGGGAACAAGCTCTGAGTAAAACTGGGCGAACTGGGAGGCACCTACGCCCCAGCGGCTACAACGTCTTTAGTCACCAGTGTGATCAGAGCTAGCTCACCCGCACTCCAAGCTTTTATGACCTTAACTATGGGAAGAGTCGGAATGCACTAAACCCATTTTGCAAAAAGAGAGAAAAGAGCAAAAAAGTTGTTTGCTATAACAAAGAACTTGTCCGTTTTCGCACAAGTTCATCGCTCAGCTCATCTGCCCAACTAAATTCTCATGCGGGATACTCTCGTCCTCTACTTCTGCAGGAAAATCTTGTCTCAATAGGAAACACAAGTCGACTGGATGGCTGGGCTACTATCGAGAAATGGGTCGATCGAACGGGCCAAAACTGCCGCTAAGAGATAAGCACCCTTACTTACATTACATATTAAATTCATTACCGAGCCTCCAACCCCAGCAACGGCAGGGGATCGGACATCGCTCGAGGCCTGGCAAGAGAGTCTACTCGCTAGACACTTCTCTTTGCCCGACCCCTCCTTACGTTTAAAAATTGGAGGCACGGTGTGCAGGCATAAACTTTGAGTAAAACTGGGCGAACCGCTAGAACCCTATGCCCCGACGGCTACGGCATTTTTGTTCACCAGCGTAATTGAAGTCTTTGTCCCCGCACTCCAAGCTTGAACATCCACCTTCTTGAGAAGGGTTCGGACGGGCCTACTTGTAGAATTTCCATCAAGAAAAGCTGTCAGGTCGCCCAAGCCGATCGAACGGCTCGGATCACTGCCAAGAGACAGAAACGGAAAGCTAGGAAGCTCATGCAAGTTACACCGGCCCCGTCACGAATGTCAGACCTGAACCCTGCACGGACATGTTTGGTAAGAGCTCCCAGAACCCATCACTCGCACCATCGAGGTAACGTTACCGACCCCCGCTATTTCTTTATCCTCATTCATTCAATCATCCCGTACATCCAAACATTGCACATGCAATTGCTGCATCGCAATGCTTCGCGTCGCGTAACGAAGTGGCACTCGTCTCATTCGATATGAATGGCGACAAACCAAGGTTTGAAGGCCAGCCCATGAAGGGCTCGTGGCTGCCTCGTGTCAAACAAAGCCAGGGGACAAAAACTGAGATAAGCCCCAGCGGCCTTGCCTGAGCCCGCTCAGAAGCGAATAGAGACATCTCGACCTTTCTCGTTTGATTCTAACCTTGAGCCAAACCCACAGAATCTCCATCGAGGAGAGGCCAATGGGCCACCCAAGCCTATCGAATGGCTTGGGCATCTACCGGGGGGCGGTTTAAGAAATAGTGGAATGCCACATGAGGGATCTACCGACCCCGTCAGCGGATGACGGACCCAGATTCCACTTGAACATGCCCATTAGCGAGCTCACCGAGCGCGACGCTTGAGCCATCAAGGCAAGTGTCGTTAGCTCAGGCCCTCTAGTTGCGGAAACCAAGGATAGGGTGATGCACGAATCATGGCCGACCCCTTCTGAACCCCACGGGGCTCAGGGGGCTCGAGCCGCTCGATCCTACATCGAAAGGCCAAGGTTCGAAGGCTTGCTCACGGAAGGCCTGAGGCCGCCTTGTGTCGAACAAAGAGCCAGGGAGGAAAACATAGATGAGCCTCAACAGCATGCGTCTGTCCCGCTTAGAAGCGGACGAGGCCGTCTCAACCTTCTCGTCCGATCCTAGCCTCTAGCCAAGCCCATAGAATCCCCATTGAGGGGGAATATGTTGGAAGGCAGGTTAAGGAGCAACGGAATACCCCTCATAGGCTTTGCCGATCCCGTCACAGGTGATGGTACTGGATTTCGTTCGAACATGCCCGCTAGTAAGCTCACTGAGCACGTCACTCGAGCCATCGAGGCAGGTGGCGTTAACTTAACCCCCCGTTGTAGAAAACTATGGGACGGGCGGCGATCCTAAAAATAAGCCGACCCTTGATCGAATCCCCGCCATGCGTGGGGGCTCGAGGAAGATTAGACTTACAAGGAGACCGAACACACAGTTGTAGAACGATAGCTAAAATCCTAAGGAAGGGGTACATGCGAATACAAGAGTAGTTTCACTATCCTCTCTTCGGTCTTCAGTAACATTCGACCTAGCAACTGCAAGGGGTCGGATCTCACTCGGGGGCTGATAAAAGTATAAAAGACCTTTTTTCGAAACAGTTGCTGTGTCAGACCTCTTTCTCACGTTAAGGTTAGTGGCAAGGTTTGTGGGAATGAATAACCGAGCGTGCCTGGTCAGACTGCAAAAAACCCACGCCCTGATGGCTATGGTAACTTTGCTCACTAGCATAATCGAAGTTTCCCTCTTACACACCTTGGGCCCTACGGTCTTAACGAACGAAAGGGTCGGATTGCATGAGCCCCTTTTTTGAACATGAAAAGGGAAGAAAGCAAGTTCAATCAAATGAAGCGAAATTATGAATTTGTTTAAACAAAATGAAATTACTAAATGAAACAAAATTATGCATGAGCCCCTACGGTCGATACTCTCAGCGTAGTGGGAGCAGGCAATGACAAAGGCTTGGGTAATCCTAGAACGAAGAGCTTCTCTCTCGAGCTGGCGCACCCGCGCCGTGATATCTATGGTTGTAGAGGCCACAAGTGAGTTGGTTCCCTCTGGCCGCACCACCTCCTGGTCATCGCTCTCCTCCTAAAGGATCCCTCGTGTCTTAGCAAGCTCCATGACCAGCCCGGCAGAGACGCTCTTGACCTCCAGCCTTTGGGCTACCGTGGTTCCAAGATCGGCCCAGAGGGAGCTGACCCCTGACGCACCTCATCACGCTCTCGGATGGCCTGGTCACGCTCCTCACGGGTCGCACCACGCTTCGAGTGGAGTCTCTCCATAGTCTGGCGTAGCTCGTCCCGCACCTTGCACAGCCAGGCTATCACCTCGGCGTCCAGGCTCGCCCTCTGCTGCAGGGCCACGGACCTCTCCTTGGCTCCTAGCTTGAGCTCCCGCTCCTTCTCCACCTCGGTCGGGAGGTCGAGGACCCATTGGCGGGCCTCGGCGTCCCTATGGAGCAGCTCGTCCCACTCCTTTCTGACGTTGGTGCCCTCCTCCTTGTCCTGCCACGCCCTCACTGATAGATCCTAGAACATCTTCTCGGCATCCTCCGTGTCCCGACGCGCCTCGGTCTCCCACTGTCGGAGTCCAGCCGCCTCCTCAGCCAAGGGAGTCAGCTTGGCCACCTGCTATTGGGCGGCAGCAAGCTAGGCGTTCACATCTCCGTGTAGCCAGGCCTCTTCGGTGAGGCGGTCGCATTCCACCTTCTGCTCGCAGAGAAACCAGGATTTCTCCTGGCTACGAACGATAAGGGACTGAAAAGAAGATCAATGTCAAGACATAAGAACACATGAAGAAAGAAGAAAGCGAGAGGGGAGATTAAGTAGATACCCGGCCAGTAGGAATGATGACATCATGGAGGACGCCCCTGGCCTAGTTTAGGACTTCCATCATGGCCGAGATCCCTTC